ATTGTTGGGAAAACATTGAATCTTTGGATAAACCCACAAAACTCTACCTTATCTTATTTACTTCTGTCTCAAGTAATTCCCCTGTTTTACATTTTGCTCTTTGAATCAACAATGCATAGGGCTAGGTTAAATTGACTCTAACCATTTGTGATTTTTCAGATTTTGGGCCAGAGGATCGTGCTCTTGTTGAGGATCTTATGGCAAGTTACTTCAATATTGTTAATAAAAACCACACATTAGTTTTTTTCTGTTTCCTCTGTTCATGATCTTTTTGTGGTGTTATTAACTTACAGAACCTAGCCACAAAACGGACATTTGATGTGAAAACACTCTCACCTAAAGTTACCAAACGTGTTCTGTTTCTCAAGGACATTCAGGTATTGTCAAATCTAGAGAGATTCAATGTTCGGTTATATGTTTTTCATTGAGGTGAAATATTGTGTGGATTTTAAGGTTAAACACGATGAGCTCGAAAAGAAGTTTCTTGAAGAAAAAGCCGCATTGGAGGCGGAATACGATAGTCTCTACAAGCCGCTTTTCGATAAGGTAGAAAAATTTATCAATCCTATAAATTGTCATGTTATGAGTTAGGATTTTTCCTGATAGTTTTTGAGAACTTGCAGAGGTATGAAATAGTGAATGGTGTGGTTAAAGATGAAGCAGAGAAAGAAGGAGTGCCTAATTTCTGGTTGATTGCGATGAAAACTAACGAAATGCTTGCAAACGAGGTTCATGATTCGATTACATTTTGGAATCTATGTGTTCATTTGCATAAAGAAGATTGTAAACAAATCAGTCTTGGTTTTATGTAGATAACCGAAAGAGATGAAGGAGCACTGAAGTATCTCAAAGACATAAGATGCTTTAGAGTTGAAAACAATTCAAGAAATTTCAAGCTTGAGTTTCTCTTTGATCCTAATCCTTACTTCAAGAACACGGTTTTATTTAAAACTTACCATGTCACCGATGACGATGGACCTGTTCTTGATAAAGTGATTGGGTATAATATTCATCCTCATTTCACTTGGTTTTTGCTTTTGACCTGATCTTTTAACTCGGTCTTGTATTTGTGATGTGTAGAACGGACATAGAATGGTGTCCAGGTAAATGTTTGACTCATAAAGTTGTTGTAAAGAAGAGGCCAAAGAAAGGGTCTAAGAAGGTCAATAACATCCCCATGACTAAAACCGAAAACTGCGAGAGTTTCTTCAACTTCTTCAAACCGCCTGAAGTTCCTGAGATTGATGAAGTTGACGATTACGATGATTTTGATACTGACATGGTTAGACTATACATTTTCTCTTTTTGATTTTGATACTGAAACAATTGTTTCTTTCAGCAGCTAATTTTATAATATTGCAGACTGAAGAACTCCAAAACCTGATGGATCAAGACTACGACATCGCGTAAGCTTTTACTGTTTTACATTCTTTAACATTGAAAAATTCAATGTAAGTACTTAAGTTTTTTTTTGGTTTTAACAGTGTGACAATCAGAGACAAACTGATCCCTCATGCAGTTTCATGGTTTACTGGTGAGGCTCTTGTTGATGAAGACGAATTTGATTATGAGGACGAGAAGACTGTCTAAGGTTAAGAGAAAGGTTAGCTTCAACAGAGTTTGAAAATTGAAATATGAGCTTCATATTCTCTAATTTATATATGATTTTTATTTATTATCGCGATACGTATATAAATCTCAGAGTTTCAAGAGCTGATTTTAGAGAGAAGACTTCATGCTCCAAGCACTTAGGCTTAAAACATCAACATTCTGAGATCCATTGTTAAAAACAAAGAGATGTGTTCTTTCTCCTATTGCCAATTTTGGATAAACTCTTGATGTAATACATGCTTTCCCTTTCCCACCAAAGCTCTCCACTATTGACTTATCAACCTACAAACACAAAAAAACATTAGTAAAAAGAAGCTCAAGTTCACTAGTGTTCAAGTTCTTGTGATTGTGAAAAGTTGACATAGACTCACCAAAGTCTTGAGAGAGATTGGTTGGTAAGGAGAGATATCCACAAAAGCACCATAACTTGTTTTATCATTCCCTTTCTCTAAACTCGATCTGCTTTGGTCACTACACATAAGCACCACGTGATCCTTACTACTCTTACGAGCTTTGAAGATTCTGAGATAGACCGATGTGTACTCTTCCAAGTTCTTGGATGCCATAACCATTAATCCGAACGGACCTAAACCAGACTTAACCGAATTGGCATTCTTCTGACTACAAATCAATTGCGGGTCGGTCCAACCCGGTTCAATCACATCTGCTTTCTCTAAGTCTAAACCATTTACTTTGAACAAAACCTCAACATCTGCTTGTGAAGCTGTGACACCAGAAACCTCAATGACCGATCCTCTTCCCGCCAATACTCTGTTTTCCCACCTGACTTGCGTCGTACGTAACCTCTCTGTTTCCTTAACCGGCCATTGCAACAATCTCTTCCCTGATTCATCAAGCCATATTTTCCTCGGAATCGCCTAATTCACGACCAAAAATACAATAATCACGTCCAAATTTGTCACCTATTATATAAGTCAAATAATAATCTCAGATTGGTTTACCTGTAAACCGGCCCAACCCTTCTTGATGTTATCTTTCTCTGGCGACGACTCGTTAACCCAACCCCACAGTATCCTCCGTTGATTAACCGAGTCGTAAAACGTTTTCGACGCGTAAAACTTTCCGTAATCGTACCTCGGAGCTGTCTCGTCCTGAACAAAACCATGGTCCGGTACATATACATCTCTTACACGATCGTACGTACCAATCGTGTAGTAATCGTGAAACGTGTCCGTCAAGCTCACTTTAAGCACGTGCTTAACCGACTCACGAAACGACGACGTATCGAGTCCGTGTGAATCAGTTCTCGCCACCGGGAAAAAATCAGGACACTCCCACATTCCGGTGCCGTCTTTGTAGTGAAGAGGCTTCGTCGACTGTTTCCAGTCGATGAGATCGCGGCTCGTGGAGAGAAGAGCTAACCCACGACGACCTTCTTGGCTTCCGGTGATCACGCGCCACCAGCCGTCACGGCCGAGCCACGCGGTGGTCGGGTCGCGAAACGCCGTGGAGTTGATGTGGTTGACACGGTTAGCCGTCACGAGGGGATTCTCCGGCGACTTGGTCCAGTGTCGGAGATAGGGATCGGTTAGGTTCTTGGGTTTCGCTAGGTTTTGGACCTGATGGTTGTAACGGTCGTTGCCGGTGTAGAGAATTACGGGTTTGCCATTGGGGAGGATCGTGGCGGAGCCGGACCAGCATCCGTTTATATCGGACGGTCGAGATGGTTTGATCGCTGGACGATGTGGGGTCCAGTTGATGAGGTCCGTTGACGTGGCGTGTCCCCACACGATTTCGTTAACTTTCATAACGGCGCCGTTTGGGTACCATTGGTAAAAGAGATGGTAGACTCCTTTGTATATCATAGGTCCTGTCCAATTTTATACACATAAATAAATGTTAACTTTTATCTCTTCGAATTGATTTATCATCTATGCTTACATGTCCTTAACTAATATAAATTAAATAAATTTGATTGTAAGAAATATGATAACTAACCGTTAGGATCTTGTAGCATTGAAACAAAGCCCCAACAACATAAAACAAAGAAAAAATGAGTGAAAAGTATAGTAATGTACACAAAAAGTGTAGAGAAAGAAAAATATAGTGAACCGGAATTAATATGGGTTCGGGGTATGATGATATACCATTCATCCAGTTTTTGGGAGGTTGGAAATGATAACCGGTCCGGTAAGGCTGGTTCTTGATTTGATTGGGGAGGTAGTGCAAGGCCTCAAGAACAACAACATAGTTAGCAAGAAACAACGAGACTAACAAGAAAATGACAATGTTACACCAAGCTATATTAGCCATTAATGGAACTGTATCTCTGAGTTGTGCTTAGGATATAGTGGCCAGTGGGGAAGGTCTAATTTATAGGCGATGGGAGTTTTTTGGCGTGGTTAATTGAGGTGGTGGTCCATATTTAATACAGTATAATGTTAAAATTAGGTTTTAAAATCTCGATCCAAATGGCATTTTCGTGTTCGTTGAAATCAAGATTGTTTTCCTTGGATATTTTGTTGTCGTCAATAGTACGAATGATTCGTAAAAGTAGTCTGATTTTGGCTAAAAAGCACAATTTCCTAATACGTTTCACAGTTTCAGTGAATCAGTGAAAATTGACATTCGAATAACCAAAAGACAAATTAAATAAATAAACATATGGTTAATATCTTATAATTCCCAACAGTCAAGAATGTTCACCAAATAGTCTTTTGTAGCCTCATAATTGAAAATGTTTCCACTCAAATATGATTTAATGAGTGTCATTGTCTCATCATTGATGTCGGTATATTTCATGCTCCAAGGAAAATGTTACAGTTTCTTCTATTGCCACCGTTGGATACAGTTTTGATGTTTATGCATGCTTTGCCTCCCCCACCATTTTTAGCGCTCCACTACTGAATGCTCAATCTATAAAAGGAAAGATGTAAATTGAGAATTCAATTTGAAATTGAATAGGATTATGCCTACAAGTGCAATGACACGTGCTTCTTCTTGAACTCTCTTTTAAATCTCAATTTTATTTAAAACAAAATCAAAAGATCCTCAAAGTGAGATCGTCCCACTGAGCTCTGTCCCATAATTCTCATCACATTCTCCTAATCATTTTAATGGGTGTCTTTTTCCATAATGCGTCTTTGACACTTTTATATATGTTAACATGCTCGTGCTATGCTATCAATTTTGTTAATATATAGCTAAACATTAACCATGTAATCAATGTCTATGTGCTAGAGACATACGGATATGTGTGGTGGATATTGTAACCTCATGACTGTGTGAAATAACTTTATAACAAAATAAATAAATTATGTTGGCATCTCTATTGATGGCTAGACTTATAAATTCGTCAGTCATTAAGCTTACTTAATGTTGGAGCATCTATATTGAAGAATTAGTTTACCCGGTTGTACTGTAGCCGTATAAATGAGAAAAATATAAAGTGTTGATATTAAAACTACACGTTAGAATGGTCCTAAGAGCATCATTATCCATGAGATTTGGTAGGTATCATTAGATATAAAATTATTAAAACACACATTCTCTCTAATTTTATATCTTCTCTTTCATCTTTTTATTCAACTTTTATTAATTTTATATTTAAACACACCCCAACTAAAGTTTAAACTCTCTTCAAAAGTATCAACCCATTGATACAAAGACACTCTCTCTCCAAAAATATCAACTCATCTCCTCTTTTTACTCAAATTTTATTAATTTTATATTTTAATACACTCCATTATTTCAACCAAAAACACTTTTTTTTTTATTCAAATTTTAATAATTTTATATCTAATGATACCCACCAAATCTCATAGATAATGATGCTCTAAGATCATTATTATCGGTGAACCCTTAAAGATTTCACCTGATTAAAAGGGATTAAAATTAATAAAAAAATAATAATTATTTTGTTAATTAATGCGTGAGACCATTCTAACGTGTTTTCGAGAAAATCGTTGGATCGGAGCCACGTGACCATTTAATGCTGAATGCTGAATAATAATTATAAACCGTAAAGAATCGCAAGAGACGTAACCATTTAATGCTGAATAACGCTTATTTTATTTTGGATCGGAGAAAATCGTTGCTCCGCCACCACCGCAAGGTTAAAGTACTGGTTCCGGTGGCGGTTGAACCTCCGTTATTCAACGATCCTTGTGTGATTCAACGGCGTGAAAATCCGATTGATATTCAAAGACAAATGCAAGAATTTCAGAGGATGCAAATTAGAGATCTGGAAGCAGAAGATATAACGAAGATGGTTAAATCGAAACCGGTGGTTACTTTTCTCCGCCGTATGCTCAAGCTCCGGCGCAACCTCCGCCGTCTAAACCGACGACTACACAAGATCGGATAATCTGGCGCAACTTCGTTCACCCTTCTTCTTCACCGTCTTCCACCACCACCACCGATCGTACCAATGGACGTAGCAAAATTAACAAAAAAAGTAAGAGATTC